CTCCGGGTCCCTCTGTTTTCCCTGACTCGCCGAGGCGAAGCACCTCCCAGCCTCTCCGCCTGGCTCGGGATCTCACAGGAACTCCTGGAGATCACAGGCTGCCCTCACCTACCCTTCCTTGGCAGGAAAAATAGCAATAATCCACGTGAAACAAAAGCCATTTATACTTTGATTTCCCCGTTCTGTCCCAGGACGTAGGAGCTGTTCTTGCTTGGCTTTCTCTGAATCTCTGAGTCCAGCCTTGATCCTTAAGAAATTAAGCCAGATGAGGGGAGGACTCCTCATCCTCGCTGTCCTCCTCCTCCCTTCTGTGCCGGGTGCTTTTTCTTCGGCTGCTTTGAGTTATGAATACTTTACTGCGTAGCTTGTGGCTATCAAGGTCAGCCTAAGGGAAGGAGGTGAGTCATTGCCATTCAAATGGCTACAAACTGGAATTCAAGGAAGGCTGGAGCACCTGATCTGTTTCAATAGAAAGGGACTCAATGTCCACAGGTCGATGCTCTGCCCTTTTGGAAGTCTCACCCTGAAACTTCTCAGTATGCAAATACCGCCGCAGAAATTGCAGCTGGTGCTGCTCTGTCAAGGGCTGTGAGCTGATCAGAAGTTTTGGTAAGGGCAGAGAAAAGCAGAGAAATTGGGTTGGGAGGAATGCAAAAAACCTTCTGTCAATAATATTTCTTTCTTTGTTTTGTTTTTGGTTGGTTTTTTTTGTGTGTATGTGTGTGTGTCTCCAGGCTGCAAACTGCTCTCCATGGCTTAAATGGACATCAAAGCACATCTGTCTGCTGGAATGTACATCCCGGGATGATCTGATCCTTCATGAGCTAACTTCCAAGAAAAAAAAAAAGCTAACCACCCTCTTCTTTCTACAGTTTGCTTGCTTTAATTTATGGCTTGCTCCTACACAGAAAACACTTTTAATGCTGATATTGCTCCCTTCTAAATCTTCTGGTACGTGGAAGGGCAAGGGTCCATCTTCATTGAACCCCTGTTGGGAGAGGTTAACGGCAGGTCACAGACAGGTGGAAGAGACTTGGAAGCACTGTGAGAAGGTGAAAGGAAATACCCAGCGTTGCCTTTTTTAAGACCGTTTGGAAATGAAGCTTCTTCCCATACAGGTGGAGGTAGTGGAGTCGGTATGTTCAGCCTAAGCCCAGGGTGGTAACTGGCAGGCGCCTGCAGCACCCTTTCCTTTTTGCCTTACACTGGACCCTACATCGTACTTGGTCAGCAGTGACAGCAGAACCTGAGTGGGAAAGATGGTTGTCGTAAGGAGGAGGAACGTGAAAGTGTTTACCTTCGCCTTTTTGCTCATCACAGTAACGTCATTTCTGCTGAACTACACGCACCAGGTGACCACGACCACCTGGGATCCGAGACATCTCATCATGCAGTTTTCAGAGCAAGTCCAAAAACTCTTCAAGTACCCCAGGAGACCGTGCAGCTGTCACACGTGCATTTCTGAGCTGGGACATTCCCTCTGGTTTGATCAGAGATTTAATTCAACTATGCAACCTTTCCTGACCTCACAAAACGCCTTGATCCCAGAAGAGAGCTACAGGTGGTGGCTGGTAAGTGGAAGGGGTGGATATGGCCCGGCGTTAGTGCGACGGTTGCGGTGTCATGCTTCGAGTGATGCCGAGCAGATAGCGAGAGACAGTTCCTGCCAAAAACATTTGCCATCTCAGCTAACAAGGCAGAGGCAGAGGTGGAAGAAAGTGGGCGTTCGTGCTGCTGTTTAGCTCGCAGGCACTTGGAGCACACGTTCACTTGCTCCAAGCTAGAAAAGTCCCTGGCAGAGATAGGCGGTGAATCCAGAATTTGTAAATGCCAATATTGCCTTCTTTCTCCCTTCTCTTTGAAAGACTAGACTTCCTAAGCCGGCTTGTTTCACTTCACATGAGAAACGAGGGTTTTGCTGTCCATTGAGGTAGCAAAGCGAACTTATTGTGAAGTGTTTA